AGTTTGAAAAAATGTAAAAAAATTACTTACATATAATTATATATAAAATTATGTATTATATAATTATGTAGGAGCAACTTTTTTTACATTTTTTTCAAACTTATTTTTTTCTAAAACAAACACTGCAAAAATTATTTTTTTAATTATTTTTCAAATTTTCACATTACTATTATTATTTCTATTACACTAAAAAGTAATTTTACAAAAGAAAGAAGGATGTATGGTCATGTATAAACATATTTCATATATAATTACTAATTATATATAATTATGAATATTTATGCGTGTTTAAATATATTTATACATATTTATATACATATATATATTCATATGTATAAAAAATTTTTTACCGGGATCTTAAATTACATTTTAGTCCGATATAATGCCATCAACCTAAGTAAAATAAAAATACCGGAAAAATATTAAATTAAAATTTGTTTTTTAATGAAATTAGAGAAACGAAATAAAAAACAAATTTACAGTTCTATCTCTTTTCTTTAAAACATTTTTTAAAACTTCTCTATGATTTTTTTGCACCGAAATACTTACATATGTACATATAATATTTTCTAATATAATATATTGTATATGTTTTAATCAGGGTTGGATAAGTTAATATTTTTTTAAACTAAATTAAGTTATATAAAGTTAATGGCTTATAAAATTAATAAAATTAAGTTGAAAGTTAAAGGAATAAAGAATTAACTTAATAAAAATTAAGTTAAATTAACTTAAGTTAAAAAAAAACGTTGTTTATGCATGTTTACTATATCGGCTAGATATTTATTACAAAAAATATACGTAAAAATTTAGAAAATAGGTGGATGTGCTCTGTTCTACAACAATTCTTCATCTAACACTCATTTCATATTTAAGTTGCTGGAATATAACGTTTGTGATATCTAAAATTAATATAATTCAAATATAAGTGGGAATTGACAAAATCTAGCGAGTCAATAAAAACTGGCTGCCGCATGGTGTGACTTATTGTACAGTCTCTCATCATAAAATCATTGAACTTTTTCTAAATTAATTCTCTAATGTTTAAGACTTTATAGAAAAAAAATATTAGCATTAAGAAAAATTTTCAATTTAAAAAAAGTTAATAAATTAAAGTTTAAAAGTAACTAAATTAAGTTAAAAATTAATGCATTTAAAATTA